GATTCTCCGTTTAGCGAACATCACAGCTCTCTATTGGACGATATACTGACAAATTTGTGTGTTTCTAACTTCAGAGGAAGTCTTATTAGAGAACGTCGAACTGATTCTTGAGGCGTTTGAGTATTTGCAGCTTCCTATTGCTCTCAAGCAAGGTGATAGATTGGATTTTGCCAGCCTTCTCTAATCTGATGCTTTCGTTTGTTTTCTCTGTGGATCAATTTCTTTATTGTGCTTACAGGACGTGTTGGGAAATTGAGCATTAAAATTCCATGGAAGAAACTTGGAAGGGATCCTATCATCATTATGCTTGAAGATGTCTTTGTATGTGCATCACAACGCAATGATCAAGAGGTGATTTCTGTGACCAATACCTCTTTTTCTATGCATGACAAGCGTTTGCCTTTAACACCAAACGTTTCCATGATCATTGTAGTGGAGTTCGGATGTGGTTGAGAAAAGAGAATTTGCTGGTAAGAAAGCTAAACTTGCTGCTGCAGAACTGGCGAAATTATCCAGGCGCGTCTTCGGTGAGCAATATACTTCCTGTCCTACTTCTTGAAGTCTTGGTTTCCGTTACATTGCACTAATTAGTCAGCCCCTTCAATTTTTTATTTTTTCCAGACAGTCCAGCAGGGAATCCTTTTATGTCATATATTGCAGCCAAGGTGCATTATGTTCTGCAATACTACCCTTATTTCAAGCATCTTACATTGTTCATATTATGTTTGGTCTGATGCTGTATTTTAATCTATGAGTAGTGTAGATCTTTCTGCTTGTGGATAAGATTATCAGTCATGTCTTTGCTTGTTTCTACTATGTTAACTTTCCTTCTTTATTGGCTTAGATTCTTGATAGCATTCAAGTGTCCATCAGAAACTTTCACATCTTATACTCTGATGCACAACCTGAATCGGTAAGTCTCCTGCTTCTTTAGTTCAATTAGTTGGTAGAATATAGGCTTGTAATTCATTATTCTCCCTTTGCAATTCGTGGAAACTCTTATACACATTGATAATCTTAATGTAGTCTTGGTTTATTGTGAGAGCGTAGTATCTGTCATGGAAAGATACAAATATAGATAGCTTCAAGTTTATGAATAGGGTGATGTTAAATTACTATCAGTCTTTCTTATGATTCGCTAGAGTATAATTTGGGTCATCATTTGGTGTTGTCTGCTTTTCCACTTTCACATGTTTGACTGTAAACTGCTTTCTGCAGGTACAAGTTGTATTAGGATTGCGGTTTTCAAGCTTGACAGTTACCAAACAAAACCCAGTTTGGTAATCTCTTCATGCACCCTCTATGGCACTTAAAAAATTGTATTTCACTGTCATGTTTGATTCCTGGCTTTGCTTTACTTGATGGTAAGGATATGTGCTTTGAGTTACATTGTGAGAGAGCAACTGGCATACCCCATTATAATTTTCTCCAGTTGCCTCTTTCCTTCTATGGAACTTAAAAATGTATTCCACTTTTCGTGTTTGATTACTTGTAGCTTTGCTACTCTATGGTAAGGAGATGTCCTTTAAAACAAAGTGCATCCCCCATTATAATTTTTTCAAGCCGCCTCGTTTCTTACTATAATTAATCCTTAATACCTATCTCTTCCATGAACTATTTTTTTTTTTGGTAGAGCCAACATCTCTGGTTATATGCGCACCCTGCGATATCTTGACATGGTGTTTATATTGAATATCAGGCCATCTGTTGGAAAGGTGCGAGGGGGGCAAGTGAATAAACTAGTGGAGATTGAAGCTTTGGAAATTTATTGCGACATGTATGAGGGAAACATGGACTTCCTAAGTGTAGATGAAAAAAGAGGTTTTGACAGCTGGTGCCAGTCAAGGTTGCAAAACGATAAAGTTGGTTATTTATTGAAGCCAGTCCATGTTTGCGTAACACTATTGGTAATGCTAAAACAGCATCATTGTGTTTGCTATCTGATACTATCTGCTGTTATCATGAAAAAAATTGTTGCTGCTCCAAGGCGCTACATGCTTGCTCTAGCTTTAGGGTTGTGTTTAAAATGGGGTGCACACAATCGTATGTTATATCTGTTGTAGTGAGTCTATATCTTGGATCAGTCTAATTACTTTTTAGAAGCCATTCCTTTTATGATAAACTAAGCACATATTTCTAGGTTGAACTCTTTTTTTTTTTTTTCCAGTAATGCTCTTTTGATGACATTGCTATCTATCAATGTTTCCAGGAATAATTTTTCTTCACCATTAGCTCCATATGGACATTATATTTGGTTAAAGATCTGCGCAGCATTCAATATTTATACAGAAATTAAGCACATTGGTGTATGAATTAGCTATTGCTTGGGTGAATTTGTGTGTTGTGTTAAATTGGTATTCTCCATTTTACCTGATGCACTTCTTTGCATAGGTCAACCGATCTGGAGAGCTTTATGATGATCTACCTCAGTATTCTATCAGCGCTGAGTTGACTGATGTGGTTAGTTATCGGAAATTGCTAAGCTGTTAAGAGCTAAAATATATTTACCATTACATGACTCATTCTAACTTCCACTTATGTGTTTCAGGTCATGACCCTGAATGAATTTCAATTGCAGCAGATTCTTATTCTATTAGATTATTTGCAAACCAGCCAATTGCGTGAGAGGTAAACCTTTTAGTTCTGAGATTACTATTTATTATTCTGAGATTTAGTTCTATTATTTGGCATTATGGAACTTTTTTGAAAAACTTTTTTAAATGCTTTAGGTATGGACGGTATCGTCCCTGCTCCACTTCCTTATCGAGGAAACCACCAGGGTGGCAGACACTTTGGTGGCATTATGCCCAACAATCAATTTTATCTGATGTACGGAAGAAACTGTGGAAAACTTCATGGAGATTTCTTGGAGAGCGAATGTAAGTTTACTTTCTTGGCATCGTTTCATTTTTTAATTGATGCTAGATCACATAGCAGTTACAATTTATTTATGCTCTTAAAATTTCTGCGTAATTTACTTCCACGCAAATAACTTACTGTTTCATATCATAAGTAGACAAATAATCCCGCAATATATTCAAGCAGCCTGCTTAGTTTTGAGACTTTTCTTTCGGGTAAATATACAGGAGAATGCGCAGGAGGTATATACACTTTTACAAGATGAAGCTAGATTTCCTTAGCAGAGAACAGGCAAGGATTTTCTTTTCTTCCTTATCTGATTAGATGTGTCTGGATTTATTCATTATCTTGCTCTTGTCCTCCTATTTGCTTAACTGCATGAGATTGCCTAACCTACCCTGTGGGATACAATGTAGAGCACAGAAAGCCTTATTATCTTTTACGTGATTTAACAAAATTAGAGAGCATATCATGAGGTGGCTTGTCATTTTGATGTGGTTTGTCCTTTAATGTACTTCAACATGTATATGGATGGGTAGTGGTAAGGAGATAATTTAGAAGCACATTTCACATGAGTTCACTAGGGAGCACATTATGAGGTGGTTCATCATTTTGTGGAATTCTAAGATTGCGTAGTGGTAAGGAGAAGATGATTTAGAAGCATATTTCAATAAGGGCTGCCATTTGTTTGAAAATCTTATATCTTAAGCACTAGCGTCTAAAATGTAAAAGTAGAAATTGCACAAGACTTGGTCTAAGCATTTGGCTTCATCATACATATAAAAAAGGAAACTGAAGAAAGATTTTCTTTTCTTCTATTATCTTGAAAATACTCTATAGGGAGCTTATCATCCTAAGAAATGTAGTTCTGAAGTTGCTGACTGAAAGAAATACATATGTTCTCATCCCTAAACTTTTTGTTGCCTTATCTTAGTCTCCATCACACGTTGCCAAGATGCTTTACTTTGGACATATTTGTTTGACTAATGCGTAGCCTTTTGAACTTGAAGATGAGTTGATGCAATGCCTGTTTCACCTGTAGCTTTTTCAAACCAGATTTTTCCTTGTCAAGTTACTTCTCTACTAATATGCATGTGTTTATGCCTCTGGCTGCAGTCAATTGATGAGTCTATCCTTTTGGGTTTGGAAGAAGTAGAGAAGAAGGCTGATATTGA